GATGATATGACGAGGGCCAGCCTCTCCAGAAAACCCCACTTTGCAGAGGCCCGAACCATTGTCAATAATCACAGCTGGAACATCCAATACCTGTGGATTAAACATGTCTGCCTCGTCCTTTCCTGAACCTCACCAACATAAGGAAGGAACACTTGGGCCACTTTGTGAGATAGGCACCTTTGGAAGTTTCAAAGCTACAGGATTCCAGAATTCTTAGGCTGTCACCGCAGGTGGAGCTAGCAGGTTGTCTTCAATGCACCAGGACACCCCATCATCAACCCACTAATCTTTTCTCACTTCTGGCAGTCTAGGTCCTGCTGAGGCAACTTCAGGGATGATTGTCCTTTATATCACAATTTAGCCAAGGCAACAATTGTTCTGAGTGGGTGTCAGAGGGGCAGGCTCTATGAGCCGGTAGTGCTGCCTATCTGGTGAGATGTAAAGCCAAGGAAGGCAAACCATACCGATGAACAGCTTTAGTGAGCCTGTGGACCCAGAGCAGAGGCCTGATTTTACAACAAAGTGAAGCTGCCAAACTGGGCCCGTCCCAGAGACCTACTCTCTACCCTCTCCGCTCTGGTCAGCTTGGTTCTGCAGAATGCTAAAAATATCTTTCCCTTTGCTCAAGGGAGGAACTAAGCATCAGATACAGGCTCAGCTTGGAGGAAGGAAATAATCAACTCAAGATAATCTTTCTCTTCTTCCCCCTTACATTTGTTTACTTGTTTGTACTGGTTTTATTTAGATCAATTTTGCATATCACACATTTAGCCACTTCAAGTGTCCATTTCTATGATTTTAGTATAGTTACAGATATTTGCCAATATTACAAAAATGAAAATAAATACAGATGCCTCAAAGAATCCCAGAATCCGTTAGTTTCCACTCCTTATTAGATCATCCTTCTGAGCCCCATCTAAGCCTTGCAAACATATTTTTTTGCCTCTGTATAATTTATATTCTCTTCATTTTTTTCATATAAATGGAATGACATAATATGTGGCCTTTTGTGTTTGGATTCATTCCCTGAAGGATATTACCTTCAAAGTTCATCCATTGTTTGGACACAACATGTTTCCTTTATATATGAGTTGATGCCTGTTTTCATTATTTGTTTGTGATGAAGTACACTTCTAGAAACAATCATCTATGTTTTGTGGGAACTTACCTAGTCATTTCTTTTTCTGTGTGTGTATACATCTAACTATCTATCCGTCTGTCTGTCTGTCTGTCTGCCTATCTATCTATCTAAACTATAATTGGGATTACTGAGTAGAATTTGACAACTGTATGTTAATTATTTGAATCCGTTTCGTCTCAGTCTGCTTTACAAAGGGTTGTGACATTTTACATTGTGAAACTGTGTAGGAATATTCTTTCTTTTCTACATAATCCTCAACACTGTTTTTTTTTTTTTAAGAGAATTGATAAGTGTGGTGTAGTTCTCGTCACCCTATTTTTTTTTTATAAGTCCGTTGTGCAATTTTATCCTTTGTATCGTTGTGGAAGCTACATTTTGACCTTTACCTTTTGAGTGTTTACATTGCTGTTGGGCCATTTCAATGGTTAGTTATTACTGAGAATAGGTCTAAGTATTTCCTGTATGGCTGGTCTTGTTCTGGTGGAATTTCCTCAGGGCTTATATATCCAGAAAAGATTTCATTTCTCCATCATTTTTCAAGCTTAGTTTCACAGGCTACAGAATTCTGAGCTGGAAGATGTTCTGTTTAAGAATGTTGAAGGTGGATGACCATGCTCCTCTGGCTTGGAAGGTTTCAGTTGAAAAGTCTGCTGTCATCTGAATGACTCAGCCTCCGTAGATCAGTTGGCATTTACTCCAGGCTGCTTGCAGAATTTATTATTTCATCTTGACTTTGGACAGGTTCATTACGATGTGTCATGGAGAGGGTCTGTTTGAGTTGAG